GGAGGCAAACCTCAATACACCTGCAGACATCGCAAACAGGGCACAAAAATATCCCTCACAGAAGTGACTCTCTTCCACCCACTCTTGTCTCAGTACACTTGTATCAAAAGCCTTGAAGAGCAGCAAAATTCACCACCCCCAAGGAGGGGACCTCAGCAATGACTGACACCTTTGTCTTAATGCAGCCACACTGTCTGAATGGAAACCTGGAAGCTTCTTGACTGTGTCACATAACTGCATATGTGCTATGGCAAGGTCTGGATGAACGATGCATCTTTAAGACTTTAAAATCTAGTAAACAGACACTGAGGAGTCATAGAGTAGTCATCTCGTGTGAGACAGGCAGCAGTGGAGACATCGCAACAAAGATTACCCCAAAGACCATTGCTTGAGGCATGTATGGAAAACAAACATGCCTTGTAAATTGGCTGCATACCTGTAGTTTTATCTTTCAAATGATGCTTCGTGATTTTCATAATTTTTCTTCCTTTTTGTTCCCTCCCCATTTCCTGACCTCTCTGGTTCCCAGCTATGGACTGACTTAACCTTATTTGAGGAAGCAGTGCGAGCAAACACAAATGAGAAAGAAGCCACCTCTTTAAGGGTGAGGAAGAACATGGGCAGGTGTATGTTCTGGAGACTGCAGCTGAAGCCAAATGTTGCCTATAGCGAGTTCAGCTGTAGGCCAGTCACTGAAACAGGATGGTCTGCCAGCCTTTAAAGTCTCCTGTGTTCTGTTTATTGGTAAAATGCACCCCTGCTTTGCAGGATTCACTCCTCATTTATTAACTTCACCCTCGAGAGAACTAACAGAAGTGTGACCCCAAAAGTTTGATGTCTTATGAAGAAATAATGTGCATGTAAGACTTCAGAAAGCAGAAAATGTCAAGCTCACTACAGGACAATGAGAAGGGACACAAATATTTTCCAATAGGTGAGATGTTTAAAGACCCAGGGAGGTTAGGAAGTCTACAGGTCATTACGAAACAGTCCTTCTGACTTCAAAGAGATCCCATTTGCAAAGGAAGAACTACAAGGCGAAACACCTTCCTCTTTAACACCTTTGGACTCAGGTCTGCAAGGTCATCCAGGTGACAGGCACAGTCCCAGCAGCAGTGAACAACAGCCAAAACGCCTGCGTAGGATGAGCTTGCTTTTGGCCACTCATACCTGGAGCCGATTGGCAATATTTCTGATAAACTGCTGCGACTTGCTGACTCACCCCGACCGTATCACCAGCAGCACTGCCTGCTTCCCACAGAGCAAGGAGCCCAGGAGGCCCAGGATTCCCAGCTAAGCTGGCAGGCTCCAGCCTTTGGCAACCAGGATCATTTTGGTTTCAGCGTTTTCAAAAGGATGCAACTGAACGTAATTTCAGGACCACACGGACAGATTTTTGCTGTGTGCAGAAATTTTGGGAAGTGTGGCTTCCTGTTCCAAAACAGAACTCCTCCTCCCATCCAGCCCCCAAACCACGGTGCCCGTGGGATGGCCGTGCTGGCATTTGGCTGGCTGTGCTCACACCGGCGTGGACTGACCTCACTGAGGTTCTGCAGGAGGCTGGAGAGATACCAGAGATGCATGTGTGAGAGGAGGGAGCAGGAGCGAAAAAGAAAGGGGGAATGACAGTGGCTTAATAATAATGCCTTTATCCCCCCCCCCTGCAAATTTAGCTACTGTTTTACATGGATAAAGTGAAGCAGGAAAGATTCTTTGTGTAAAACGATCCACAGCACCTTGATTCAGAGCAACTCTTCATCATAAAGTTTTAGGAGAAGAGTGAAGCTTGCTACAGGGTCTGTACACAGGGATTTTACTACGCCAGTGGAAATTAGCTGAGTTTCAGCCGAGTTTGAAGGACTTCCATGTCTGTGTGGATGCAAGGCACATCTGATGCAATAACACAGTGCTGTTGAACCACTGGGATCCTTCAAAGAAGGCTGAATAAAAAGGCTGGGCAGCTGTTGGTGTTAGGAGACACTGAAATACCAGGGCTGTGCTCTGTGGAGTGGGTTTCACCTTGTACCTGCGGCATCCCTGCAGATAGGGGCCGGAGCTGTTTTGAACTGGGAGGTCTTGACCCCGAGGGGGTCTGGTTTGAGAAAAGAGGGGTGGTGGGACTATGCAGCCAGCGGGCATAAAGCTGGGGGCCACACGAAGCACACCCAGCCCTCAGAGAGCTCCTTAGGGGCTGAAGTGGGGGTTGCCCCGAGTGCAGCTCGCAGGACGCAGCAAGTGCAGCAGCAGAGGTAGCAGCGAGGCTGCCCTCTGAGCTTCCACAGAGAAGCTGCGTGTGTTCCTGCATTTGGGGCATTTGAAAGTAAAACAGCCAGAGGCGCTTCTTACATGCTACAGGAAGCAATTCGGCATCAGCGGGGAGCAGGGCTCTATCGTCTGACCGCGTTCCTAGCCTTGGGAACCAGCGTTTTACAAAGCCTACAAATCAGCCCTGACCCCCTCCGTGCTCTGAAAGCAGGCTATGTTTTAAATCTGTGTATTAGATTTTCTTTCTAAATTGTTTTATCCTCCTCTCGCAAACCCAAACAATTCCCAGACAGTGACTCGTGCTGACTAATCCAGTCTGGGAGACTTCTAGGTGTCCCTGTAACTTAAAACCAGAAAACAAGCTTCCTAATTCAGTAGCTAGACATTCCACTGAAGACCTGCAGGTTCCGAGCTTTTATTTTCCTTCTCCTCGGGGTTAAAGACGCTTTTATCTAGGCTGTGCCTCCCTCCCCCAGCAGGCGAGAGCTGTGATGAGCTGCAATTCGGACATTCCTTCCCCGAGATGCTGCACACCTCGGTAGGACTTCTGCTCCACAGGGCATCCCGGAGGCAAAGCTACTGTCAGCCGGCAGCAGAGCCAAAGAGTGATAAAGGTGCTGTCTTCCAGGGAGAGGGGGGCGCCTAAAGTAACACTTGAGACACGCTCCCGAAGTGTCTGACAGACCTGTAAAAAGCCCTGTGTTGTAAAAAGATATGGGGCCACGGCTAAATTATATTTTTGGCCCTTTCACAGCGCTGGACTGAGTCATGCTTTAGTCATGTCTGGAAACCACAGTGTCATCGCAAGGTCTTCCAGTACCGTAGCAGTGGCAGTGGTGATAGGCTCGTAAGCCCTGGATGCTGTGAACAAGGCCTGTCTGGGAGCAGCTAACACGGAGTTCACTGTCAGGTCTGTGACCACACACGTCGCACCGAGCCCCGGCGTTTCTGTGCCTGCTCCGAAAAAGGGCTGTGACTCCTGGGCACAGCGCACTGCGCCACTAATCCCTGCCTGTTGTCTTGTGTGACAAGCCACTGAAAAGAGGGGAAAAAAAAAAAAAAAGCCACGTAAGCCAAAGGTAACACACCTGTGTTGTCTTTCCAGGACAGCTGTGTTGAGACGTACAGGCTGATAGCATTTAATAAGCTGCTTCAGCTCTGCAGCCCGGCTCCGCAGGGAGGGATGTTTCCTCATTGCACAAGTCAAACAAAGCAGTGTGGGAGAGCACCCGTGACAATGGCCTCTATAATTGAAGGCCACCAGAAGCTGTCAGTCAGGGTGTAAGGTGTAACAACAAGTCAACAGCCTTGTGGGTTCACCCTCGCCAGCCCCTCCTCTCACAAACAGCAGCCTCCAGCCTTTGTCTTCCTCACCTTTCCGCCCTTCCCTCTTCCTCCCCTCCAGCAGCCAGAGCTGGGGCTGAGCCGGCCTCTCCCAGCTGCCAGAAGAAGGCATGGCCCAGCCTCCTGGCCTCTGGGATGCCCGGGGGCAGCTCCCCGGAGGGCAGAGGGGTGAATCTTTCTGCTGAGTTGCCCAGGGTGGTGATGTGGTGGTGGTTGTTGTTTTGCCCTCACTATTTGTAACTTCTCTTCCTGTTGTGTTCCAGAAAGGAACAAAATTAGAATGCGCCCTGCTTGCGCATCCACCTCTACAGTGCTTTTGGGTTTCAGAGGGCAAGGAGAAGAATCTTTGTGGCAGACCCTTGCAAAAATGTAAGTGCAGTGCTGTTGGGATAACGTGGGATTGTGCCAGAAATAAAATGTCATGTGGTCACACCGAGCAGTAACCGTGTCAGAGGTATGCGTGAGCCCAACCTGAATAGGTTAGGAAGAGGTTAGAAAGTTAAGTACCTGGAATTCAGGAGCTGTTCTCTCTTAGTCTCTTGATCCTAATTTTAAAAAGATAATATGAGTTATCATTTGAGAGATGGAATGCTACCTGACGAGTTGTCAGAAAAATTATAGCTGCAGTAGTTTGCTTTGTAGCTTGTTTTTCACTGAGAGTAGTAGATGAAAGTTAATCCTTGTATGTATACATTATTGTATAGCAGGATACTGCTGAAAGCTTCTTTATATAATGCAGTATATTCTGTCAGGCTAATATTAGAAGATTTTATATATATATCTGTATGTACATATACAGAGGCTTTCAGATTGAGCTTTCAATATTGACTCTGTTTTTTTTTTCTTCTCATTTTGAAAGCTCGATTCCCCCATATTAATGTTTCACTACATACTAATGTAACACTACTGTTCCATTATTTATTTCAAGACAAAACAAACAAACACCAGCGTATCTTATAAGCAGCATAAGTAGCGTGACCTCAAACTAAGTCTTTTGGTGCTCCTCAAGTAAGGCTGAACTCATCAATATCAAGAAGGATCCAACCCAAGAAGAAAAAGATTAAGGGAGAAGAATAAAAGCTATAGAAAATCTTAGATTATTCAAATTTGATCAAGGTAATTCAATTATCAGGCTTCTGTACATGCAAAGTTTCATTTCAGTCCTGTTTTGATGATCCTATTGGATAGCAGGCCAGGTCACCCCACAGCAGAAAAAATGTCATTTAATGTTAAAAACTTAATGTTAAAAAAGAAATAAATTAATTGGAAAATATATATATGTGGAAATGTGTTTTTGATGTTGTGAATACTACACTGTCAATATCCTTCTTTTGATGGTTGCTCTCTCTCTGACAGTTTTCTCCCTGATGAAAGAACGCAGCAAGCCAATGTGCATACTTGTCAAACATTTTATTTGTCATTCACACTAATTATGATATTGAATTTACAGAGGAAACTGTGGTACAAAGAAAGAAAGAAAGTCTTCATTAGAACTAACGCAGCAGTCCAGCTGCTCTGCGTGCTAGTTGTAATGAGTTTTCCCGTGGCGCTGGACACAGCCATCCCTATGTACAGCAAGAGTCTACTCTGACGTGGTATCTAGAGACTTCCTGTAGTGGGGGAAAAGTCTACTCTATTCTCTTTTCCTATCTGGTTCCAAAAAAACAGCAGCCTCCCTCCCGCCCCCCCAAAGAAAAATCCCCAGCAATCAAAAACAGAAAAGCAAACTTCCAGGACCTGGTAGTTTCCCCTTCTGGAAATGTTCAGCATGACAGTGTCAAGGGAAAATGTGACTGTTCCAGTATGCTGCGGCATCTGGTTTGTAAACAGATCCAGTAAATGCTGAACGGATGCACTTTGTTGCCGTTCTGATAGGAGTGCATCTCCCACTGTGTCCTCCCCTCAGACTTGCCATACTGCCACCTCAGACTGAAAGTTTAGTTTTTGTTTGAAAGAAAGGTGTAATTGTCATACCCAGAATACCACAAATAACCCACAGATTTTTGCACATTCGTTTCTCCCCTACCACAAAAAAGTGAAGAGTGTTGAATAGAGACCATGCTATAACTGTTTACAAAAGTGAATAAAATGTAGTTAATCTTGAAGCCTAAAAATAACTAATTTGGAAAGAAATAAGTCTCACTACAGTATTTAAGCAAACAAAGGTAAGTTCATTAAAAACACAGAAAAATGAAAAAAAAAAAAAAAACGCGGAGTAATTACAAGCACTAAATATTTTGCTATGAAGCTTTAGAAATCTATTTACATACATAAATACAAGTAACTCTGTTGATGCAACCCTCTTAGGACAAGGAGAAAAATGCCAAGTGATCAGTACTGACCAAGCGAGGTTAACAAAAATAAAATACGAGAATGTTGTGATGCAGGAAAACAAGAAAGTGTTTTGCTCAGATTGAAAACGATCCACTCATCCTGAATCTTCAAATACCCAAATGGAAAAGGTCATCCAGAAAGCAGTAATGAATGTTTCAAGAGTGCAGGCAACTCGGAACACTCTGACAAAGACTCAAAGACTGTGGGCCATTTGGAGGAAACTGTTTTTCTCCTTTCCAGAAGCTCATTTGGCGTAACTCTACAAACGAAACCCTTAGCAGCAGCGATGCTCCTTGCGGCTGCCTCCCCTTTGCACTAAAGCTCCTTGACATTGCTCTGGAAGCGTATCGGGAACTCTGGAAGTGAGCAGAAAGGCTGTTTGCAAGCCAAGTAAGGGGCGCAATCGAGAGCTGGGCCCTGTATTGACCTTGAAGTTGTTTGATAAGGCTGCCTCTGGACAACGGGCTGTGTCTCGTGAGAGGAGCACGCGAGCTGCCATTAGCTGCGTGTCGGCCGGGGAAGGAGCCTAAGGCACTCTGCTGACTGTGACTTGCAAAGAGAAGCACAGCAGTGCTTTTTGGATTCCACTCAGCAACTGGGATGATAAAACTATATAAATATATATATATATATATATATATAAAAATATATACTCATACATTATAATTTGGAGACGTGAATGGCAGAAGTGTTTCACCTGCCCGTCCTCTTTCTGCCTGCTAAGTGCTGTTAAGGTATGAGAGGAATGACGCGAGAGAATTTTTATAGCCTCAGAGATCTTTGCTGTCCTTAGTGGGACAGGGGATGGCTAGAAAAATAGAGATTTGAGTAAACTGTGGTGTCTCATAAGCACTTGTGTGAACACACTGTAGCCCACGGTGGTTAAACAGGCTAATTAAAAGGGATAATAAACTTAGGTTTTCCTCTGTAAAGAGGGCACTGCTTTGTTTTGTGTTTGACATGCACAGAGAGGTTAGACTCGGGAGTTTAGCTGCTGGCAATTATCACAAGTGAGGGCTGGGAAATCCCAGGTTTTGGTTACGTTTCAGCACAGACACAGGGTAAGTGTGGTGGCCAACTCTGCACTTTCTCATACTGTTCACACCAGGGAGTGTAAAATTAAAGTTTGGCTTCGAGGCAAGCATGAAGACGGCAGATGCATAGCCAGAAACATTATGTATTAGACCTGATCTCCAGGCTGAGAGATGCCACGTTCTTCTGGATCCCTGATGCTTTGGTTTCAGAAGCGGGCAGCACAACACTAGGGGCTAAAATGGGCGAAGGGCTTTAGCAGAGAGCAGTCGTGGCTGTGGCGAGAGACCAGCCTGGGAGCGCACTGACCACAGCAACCTCACTCCTGCCTCCGGGCTGAAGGCACCCGGCCACCCGCAGCCGTGCCCTGCGAGCCGAGGCATCCAGCTCCCCTGTGGCTCCTCGCCCTCACTTTTGGGTTCCCACTCACAGCACTACGCACTTGGGTGCTCCGGTCACGAGGCCGATGTGAAAGCTGTGGTTCAGCGATGGTTTTAATTGCACAGCGACAGAGAACATGTAAGGTGGATTCTGCAACAGAGCTACTGTTTAGTGACGAAGGACTTTTTTTTAGGCTACTGAAGAGGTGAGGTTCTAACTATGTAAAATGTCACAACAGGTAGGGTCTCTCTATTTCCATATTCAGCAAGGTCTCCATACTGCCAAAATGCATTTTTAACTGTTCTGATATTGTTTTTTTGGATGTTGTCTGCCTTTTTTGTTCAGAGCAAACTCTAGAAAATGACAAATAATATTATGCAAAATTAAAATCACAGGGCCATGTATGTATTTTAACAGAACCATTTTGAACTTTTGCTGAGATCTCTTGAAACACTCCCTATTTTCTGCACAAAAATGACCTTATTGACAATGTAAATTCTTCAATTTGTAACTGTTCAATACCAAAGTGCTACTGCATCTGTCTTAAACAAAGAAGCAAAATCATATATAAAAAAAAGAAAACTTGAAAAACAAATGGTTTTAAATAAGTCCAGCTGTTTTGCTGCCTGCAGCCAAGGATCTTTTTAATTTGAATCCTTTTAATTTTTTTTTTTTTAAACATCAAACACTGATCTGAAGTCCTGCTTTCAAATACTCTCTGAGTTGACCTGCAATTGTTTCACTCGTTTAAGAGGTACATTAAATAATAATCAGATCATTTGGTACGCACACGTGTCAACATCAGCAGTTTGCAATTAATGAGTAGTACAACAACTGCATTCAGACCAAACCCTCAAATAAAATAGTGCCATAAACTTTACAGTGACATCTGATATGTTTGTGCTGTAACGATGGGCAACGATGACGACTCTGTATTAACATGCTGTTAGAATAAGGCTTGCAGATTTGCTACAGGACAGACTAGTTTGTGCACCAGTTTTAAATCTCCTTCCTCTTCCCCCAGAATTTGGTGGCGGAGGAACCGTTAAGGCCCCTTCTTCGCTGGCCTGCTTTCCAGATGAGCCTGACAACCCTGTTCAGCCCGAGCTATTTCACGATGCACGGCTTGATCTATTTTCCAGTAGGCTGGAACATGGCTCTTGTACTGCACAGAAATCTTGGCTCCACTGAGCCGGGAGCAAGCCTCACGTTGATTCTTGCAGAGCCAGGACTTCACCCTTGCCATGCTAACCGTGTATTGCCTTTTGATTTGAAAGACTACGTATGAGGATGTATTTAATTAGGGAATATAGAGTCTGCCTTATGATATATGTACCTCCTGACTGCTGATCCTGAACATCACCGCTGGTGACGAAGGAAAAGTGAGGAAGGGGTGGGGAGAGATGACTCCACTGGGTGGGGAGGCACAGTGCCTTCTCAGGGCTTCTGGTGCATCAGTCGTTTCAGTGAGAACAGGGCATCTACACACCTCTGAGGCTCAGAGCCCAGCTAGCTGAGTAAAATGAAAGGGAGAATTGTAAACAATATTTCCAGATAATTAGGAGGTCACTTTACCCATCGTTATTCCAGCCTTTTTCAATGTGATAAATTTGACTTTGGCTGCTACCAAAAAAGGCAATTGCTGATTTTTTTTTTTATATAGGCATATTTAAATAATAATAGTATCAACAAATAAGAAAAGTCTAAATATCAAGCATAAATATCAATGAACTCATCAAATAGTACAGTAGTTGAAAATGACCCAAGGCTGTAGCCGTCGTATTAAAAAAAAAAAAAGTCCAAGAGAAAAAAGTTAAATTAACTTATTGAAAAAGGGCTGATTCTTTCAGTTGACAAAGCAAGAAAGAAGCAAGCATGATTAAAACAACAAAAAAAAGTAAAATCTTTTTTTTTGCAATTTATAAGGTGCCAAGAGAAATAAAACAAATTAGATGCAAAGCAGGATGAGTTGCATCCAAAAAAAAATAAAATAAAACCAACAAAAGAACCCAAAACAAAACAAAACAAAAAAACAGCAATAAAAAAATTCCATATTCTTTGGAATATACAACATGGTTAAAAAAAAAAAAAAAAAAAAGAAAGGATGAAGTCCAACATATAAAACCTCTCATTCACAGCATTGCTAAAACAGAAGCGTTCACAGTTTCCCTCTGGGAATCTTCCTATACTTCCTTATAGTTAATATGTCCGTAAGATGCAGTAAACTCACTAAGATTCTTTTAGGTCTTAAGTCTTAAAAATAGAAGTGAACTGAAACTCTTTAGGGCTGTGGAGACCTTCAAGCCCGGGCACGTTTGGAAGCCACAGGCCTGGAAACAAACTGGGTATCTTCCTACCCACCCTCACTACCTACAGGCCACCAACCTGCACGTCTTCCTTTCCAGAAGCTCAGCCCCCCGAGAGGGTACCTTGTTAGCGTGCCGCTGCTTCGCCAGCCCCACAGCTGGCTGGCCAACGCACACCACCGCTCCTGGGAGCGCTGACTTCTGGAGAGTTTGCTTCTGGAAGTGATGTATGAACATGGCAGGGCCCACAAGCAAGACAGGTGTTTATGGGATACCTACAGGCATCGGTAAATCGAAAGCACGTCAGTCCTGGCCCCGTGACTACATAAAATGCATTCAGTACGGTCGCCACACCGCTTCCTCTAGCCTTGCCGTGGTGCCCATGTTAGTCGGGGAGTTGCTGTGGCTCCCTTCTGCCTCAACCACATCGCTTTGGTTGGGAAGGTTGGGGTTGAGGAGTGTCGATCCCGTGGAAGCATTGGTGCAAGGAGGGTGGATGCGCGGGGGGGACCGGTCTCCCCCCGAGATCATGGAGAACTGATAGGACCCGGCCGAGGTTCCGTAGTAGAGGTGGTACGAGGGCGAGCTGGTCTGGAACGGGCTGCCTTGGGCCTGAGAGGAGCCGGGGTACGGAGGCGGGAGATAGGTGTGGTATCTCGTGGCCGTGGACATGGCAGACATACCGATCCCGATCCCCGAACTGACGGGCGTCGGCGTGTAGGTGAACGCTCCCGGGTAGTGCATCCGAGGGTCGGAAATGGAAGGGAGCGCGGAGAAGGAGCGGTCGATCCCCACCCTGGGGTCACTGAATGCCGTCAGGTCGGAAGCACCTGGAGCGCAGGGAAGGAAGGCAGAGAGCTGTTAAGCTGGCAGAGCAGAGGTTCACCTTTTCAAGGCAATAATCAACATCTGAACCCTGTACTACAGCTCGCCAAAGCGGTGCTGCTGGGGACAGAACAGAGCTGTCCCTCACCTCGTCTCTGACACGGTCACTGTAGTGCTTGCAGGTCTGGATGTTTTGGATTAATTTCAGTAAAGCAGCAATTAAAGAGGAGTGCCAAGCTCTCACATCGTCTTGTATGTGTATGTGCTCGCTCCTAAAGACCTTACAGCACATACAATTGTTTACACTTCCAGTGTCCTCATCCTCAGCGGCTGGGTGTGGGATGGGGATGCAGATCTCAGCCTTGCTCAGAATCACATGAGTCACCAGGGACACTGATGGGACCTAAATACAAATCATCCGGCTTCTGCATAGTTTCTTCTTGCTCCCTGTTTTATTTGCTGACTCAAATGGGAAGCTCCCTGGAGCACACATTGTCCTTCGGGTACACGAACATACACAGGCAAGGTCTACACACACAGGCTTAGCCCAGCTGTTAGCACTTAGGAGCACAGCTCCACATTGACTCTCGACACTACCAAAGTCAAGAAAAATCAGGTTCATTTAAGGTCTTTGAATCTGGGTCTTCATATGACGTCTACACAGTTGTTACTAACTTCTGAAAATCTTGGCTCTAATGAGGATATAAAAAAGCAATGCCTTTTTAAAGCAGAATTATATCTTTGGGAGTTGGATGTGTTTTTTTTTTTTTTTTTTCCCCCTTTCATTTGTACTAGAAACCTTTCTCATCCTGCTAAGCAGAGGTTTTATAGGTTGGTCAAATTGTGCTCCGCTTTGTCTGACATCAGTGAAAGGATGCCCAGTCCCACCATCTCCTTTCCTGGTATGCAAGGATTAAACAAGAAGAGCAGGTAACAGCCTCTTTAGAAAGGATCTTCATCATGACTCAGATTAATGGAAGGTGTCAGTCCCTAGAGTTGGCAGCAGTGCGTGATTAAAATAACAACAATAATTAAGAAAAAAAATCTTTCCAGAAGACAACTTCTCCTGTCAGACAAGGCGTGGAGTCGGCAGGAGCCATGCGCTGAAGGAAATACTCATGAGAAGAAGCAGAGAGAAAACAAAGCTCTTGGCTCTGACTGGTTTTAAAGCTAGAGCAGACACACTCCAGCGCCAAGCTCTGAAAGCTCGTCAGCCGCGCAGCCAACACGCTGATGAATTTCTACAAATTTCTTAGAAAAGCTTTGACGCATGCTGGATGCTTCCTTTTTGAGTTTGCCTTCTGTATTTATTTTTTTTTCTGGAAGATCAGTGGGACCCCTGAAGACACTTCCTTCCCCCAGACCCAAGCACATTTAGATTTAACACAGCAAGACGCTATGGTGTGGAATGGCAGGAGGTTAAGGATAGCTTAGGCTGAAGGTGACATCTGACAACCTGCCAGACTTTAAATGGTGCTTCCACACCTCATTCCTGAGAAAGAAATCAAACTTCTTGAAACTGCCTAGACACATCACTTGTCAAATGAGGGTTTCTTCTGCCCAGGTTGGCAAACAGCAGAAAAACAAAACTAATGTCAAGGTGTTTCAAGTATGTCCCATAGCCTTCTTTTTCCTTTTGAGGCACCATATCTTTAGATGGTAGGACCTAAAATCCCTCAGACTTGCTGTCTGTTTTGACCATGAGTAATTTAAATAGGCAGCACGTGTGTGTGACAGTAATGGGGTTGGGGAGAAAGTATTGAAATATTTTACTGGAAGTACTGAATGACATTTAATGTACGGGTAATATTTCAGAAGCATTATAAAAAAACAGGTTTTGTAGAGATGAGCCTCCATGTAGAGAAAGAGCTGGGGGAAAATTAAAAAGAAGTCTTTTCATTAAAAATAATAATAATAATAAAAAAAAAGTACTTCAATGAAAAATGTGGATAGTTATGGACATTTTTTTAAAAAACAAGATTTATTTTTTTTATTTATTATTATTTTTTTCCCCCCCAAGAAAGGGTTCCTGCTTTTTTTGGGTAGCTCTGTGATGTAATTAGCACCCAGGACTAACAAATAGTTTACTTTGGTGGGCATCATCCCTTTGACTCTTCCAAAGCAGGTTCTGTAATGACAACAACAGGACAGGCTGGAGCACATTTAAGTGATTCCCTCTGATCTTAGAAGAAGCCCTGATTATTCAAATGAGAGCAATATGTGCGGCCAAATAAGATATTTTTGAAAAAGCCATGTGCAAATTTGGATGATATGGCTCTCATTCATTTAAGGAAAATTCCTGCTATGGAACACACACATATTGGTTCAATATGTGGGGTTAGAGTCAGCATATGGTCAGCTGAGTATGCTGCAAGCCACGGGGGTAGCTTTCACTTCCACGCTATATTTTTATGTTGGCTTGTAAAGCTCGGCAGTACAATTTGAGAAAGATGTAACAAGACAGTACAGTGCAACACTTAAGATGTCAAAAAATACTATCCTGCATGCAGCGTGTCCACCCATAATCTGCTGTGCTCTGGTCTGAATTTAGAGTGAGGGAGGAAACAGAACTGGAGTATCTGTGGCATTTATTTCTTGGCAGATACGACAGCTCCCCGGCTATCTAAATGATTTTAATAGTTCCAGACATCTTCAAAGTGCTACTTTCTCCTGTTCTTTTCTCTTTCAGCAACGATATGCTGGGCCCCAAACCATACTCCCTCGCTCTTTGCACAACCATTTGGGAAGGCTCACTACAGAGGGCCCAGCACAAGCTTCACTGGCACTGGGGAGAAGCTGTGGCAGCAGACGAGGATGCGGCACCCGTTTTGCTTGGGCATCAGCCAGGGGCTTCAGCAGGACCTGGTCTGGGGGCACTGATTTTTGGGCGCTTACCGGAGAGGCGGCTGGAAAGCTCTGCGGTGAGGGACGTCATGCCGCTGGCCCTGCCGGGTGATATCGGCGTGGCGGGGTGCACCGAGGGGGTGGCGATGGAGCCCAGGTACTGGTAGGACTGGTCGTAGGACCACGGCGGAGACGGCTGCACTTGCCTCGTGTCTGCAATGAGAAAGAGACCTATTGGCTGTTTGGAATGGTAACGCTTCGCAGTCCAGTATGCAAACCCAACGGCGTGGTGGACATGGAAACTTAAATACCAATGTAATTACATTTCAGTGCCATAATCCCCCTACAGATGAAGTGCTTTCTAAAACACTATTTCTGCATTTGGGAGTTTTGAGTGGTTGTTTTTTTTTTTTCTTGTGAAGCTTTTTGCCTTTTCCCATTGTCGGTAGGCAGTGAAAACCCGTCAGGGAAAGCTGAGATTAAGCTTTCCGAGGTGAAAGACTACTCATTTCTGGGATGCATTAGTATTTCAGGCTGTGCGTTCACAGCCCTTTTTGCCAAAAAAGCATGTCTTGCATGGCACCACGAAGACAAAAATACCGAACTGTGAGTGCTTCTGTGCAAGGGTGTACGTAGAGAGAGAAAAACAAGATAAAAATGCGTCTGTGTGGGAGAGACGGAGAGACAGAGAAGGGGAGTGAGACTAATCTCCTCCAGAAGGCAGATTCCCAGTTGGATGGCTAGGACTGGGGATTTTGTCTTCCTCCATCTTTTGAAAATCCCAGCCTGAATGAAGCAGAGAGGTATTTTGCACATCTATTTCGCATACACTATGCATAAAATACAGAAATACAATTCAGAGGGAGGGGTGCATCTACTAGCAGCGGCTGAACTCGGGGAACAGAAACCCTGGCACAAACTGTGGAAGTGCTAAGCTGAAATCAATGAAGCTCTGCAAGTACAGGCTTTTAGGAGAAGTTTCTGGTGCTTGGAAGCAAAATCCCAAACCGCATGGATGCGTAAAACATTTAGTTAAATAGGGAAAAACACTGGCCTATTATTTTCTAGCCCCAAGACGTCTGAAATCAAAGATGCATAGCAGGGAGTTTGTCCAAACCAGTTGCACCAATGTAGCAACAACTCTATTTTGCTTATTTAATATTTGCATACAAAACTGGCATTTTTGAGTGTATAGAAATGTCTAGTTTTTGTATAACTCAAAGTGAGAATGAATCCACCCCCCTTCCCTGCCCACAACATTGTTTACTGTTTTTAGCAAAATCTTTTTCCATTTTCTTCAGCACTAAGAGCAGTCTCCTGCAGCTTCATCTAGCTAATTGCCTTTTTGAAAGAAGCAAATGTTGGATGGACTGCATTCAGATAAAACTGATACCAGCATGGAAGGGAAATTTCCCAAGTCTGAGACGAAGGACTTTGATCTTCCATCAGAAAGCCCATCTGGAAATTATTATTTTGTTGTGCTTTATGGAGATGAGTTTTACATTTTGTTTGTTTCATCTGTTTAGAAAGGAAGATTTATACAAAACTCCGAGCCTTTCAAAAATAACTAGTGAAGGCATTTGCAGAGTAAACTTAAGTCTCCTAAAGATTTTTCTGCTGAGTAACATATTCAAAATCAGATATTATCAATATTTATTTTTTTTTTTTTTAGGCAGACTTCCTCAAAAATAAATTCAGTTGACTCATGTTTTAAAAGCAACATCCAATTGGACTAAATGGGCTTTAGCAGCAACAAACAAAAAGATGTAGGCACAAAGCCTGCCGCGTTCGGAGCTGTAACATCATCTCGCTGTTAATGTATGGCCGGTGTTTATTAAAGACGACGGGGAAACAGACAAGGGAATTCAGTCTCCAGGGGAGGCATTAGGATAAATACCACAAACCTTCGGCAGAGTAAGCTTTGTAATGCTACGACACCGCGTGCTTCGGTTCCCAAACGGGGTTAATTAAATCGCGCCTGCCTTATTTCAGCACCCAGTCCCACTGATCCCAGTTCAGCAGTTCAGCCGGGGCTGAGATACGTGCACTGGAGGCGCCCAGGCCCGGGCTGGAGGCTCCATAGTTTTGTCTTCCAGCCCGGGGAGTCCTTGGAGTGTCCCGCCAAGGCTGACGCTGCAGGAGCCAGAGGCTCCTCTCCACCACCGCTCTCTCAAGGGCTTTGTCCAACGCTGCCACTGCAGAAGGAGGTTCCAGCTGGGGCCACGGCCTCTCTGCTTCTCTGCCTTTTCAGGAGGGAGGAAACTCCACGTTGCTCCCGTTCTCCTTGTTTTGTGGTTACAGGGAAGCTTTAGTTTCGAACGAGGAGGCTTGTGGAGCACATCCTGAAGTTGGCCACGTCCCCAGTATTTGTTCTTGTTTATTTTGCAGCTGAGCGCCTTTGACTGGAAATGTCTTATCACTTGCTCTCAGGTCCTCGGCTCCTAGCACCGAAGGGAAGAGGGGAAAAGTCCCTGCCTCCAGAGGGACCTGTACGGCTGCAAAGGCAGTGCTGCCGCCCATCCTTGTTTTTCAGACTGGAAGGAGAGAACATACTGTCTATTTTCTCCTGTCACTGACTTCCATTGCCTGGTGGGGCAGCTGTCTGCCACTTTTCTCTTGTTTCTTACATCGCTAGCTCTTCAGGACAGGGGGCTATGGGCTTGTCTCGTTTCTTGCCCAGCGTCCGCAGGATAAACTTCATAAAACTCCATCCTGCTCCATAAAACAGCCCCCGGTGCAATAAGCACACAGACAAGGGGAAGAAGATGCAGGACACGCTGCAGCAGCAGCAGCAGTAGCAGAAAGGGAAGCAAGGCCTTGTCACAGCTTTACTAAACACCAACAGGACTAAAACTGAAATACAATCTCTTCTCTTCTGGTGCGACTAGAATTAGCCTCATGCTGTGTCCCAACTGGAAACTGGATAATGGACCAAATACACGTCTGCTCACATCCGGAAAGAGCCTACCAGGGTATCTGACCCGCCTCATCCATTTGCTATCATTACCAACCCCTGGGGTATTTGAAACAGTGACAGCCAGCCAGAGAACCCCCCATTATTAATCTCACAATCCCATTAAGTCTTTCTTAAGTGAAAGGTCTAACTACCGATCAATTTTACATCTTGTTACCTGTATTCCCAGTCCCTGTATCTGCTATTAGATACTAAAGATCAGCTTTTTTTTTCTGACGTCGGGTTGGTTAAGTTGCAATCTATTCAGGGATGTTAATATAGCATATTATGTTGCATACACACATGAAAGCAGGTTATGCTGGCTGACCCCAGGCATCACCGTCGCAGTTGTTTAATAACAAGTGGAGAAAAGAATCACTGTAGTAGCATTTTTATGGCAGCATTTCACTATCGAGAGGCAGATTCGGCTCCCGGTCAGGGCAAGGTCTGCATTTCCAACAGCTTCAGTAGGATCTGGAGTAGGGGTCTCAAAGAATATTGTAATTTTTTTTGTGATATCTGCTTTTCTTCAGCTTTCAGCTTACCCTAAATTAAACTGGAACAGATTCAAATTTGCCGCAGGATTAGGCTACTCACTCACACACACACACACAAGACAACTAACCCTTTCTGAATGCATTGCTCTCTTCTGTTTTCTGCTTTCAAAATAAAGAGATGCACTTCTCAGAAGTTAGTAGCCTGCCGCAGGGAACCGAATCTGTGTGGCTGAAGTGAACTGGGTGAAAATGCACTGAAAATAAATGGGAGCTGCTTCCTAGCTCTGAATATCTGTGAAGAGGTTTGCAGGGAGAGCTACCCCAACAAAGGGAAATAACAGGGCTTTGGGCCCACATGGTGTTAAAGCCAAGCAGGGCTCCAAAATCATTTAAAAGCAGATCAAAATAGCACGAACCCAAGGAAGTCGGTGAGCTGTGCCCAATTCTCCCGGTATTTCTCCCATTAGCAAGTACTTTCCATTTCTGCTTTTTATGGTGTGAGAAAATGTATTTAAAAACATGAAAACAGTTATTAATTGCAATAAACCACTCCGGGGCGAGAATTATGGTGCAATAATTCACACCTTGCTGCCTAGTCACTCGCTCTCGGCCTCCAGCCTCATGCCTAACAAGCTATTAAGCAGAAAGCACTGAACCATCCTTCAAGCCTCGTCATGTTTTATTGCCAGGAGAAGAAGGTTGCGCTCGGCTTGTTTGAAAAAAAAAAAAAAAAAAAAGAAGAGGGGGAAAAAAATAAAATAAAGCCCTCAATTAAGCTCTACAAACGTTGCATAATGCTCGTTGGGGTGCGGGGAAGCATCTCGCCAGGGGTGATGAAGGCACCGGCAGAGGGCGGCGCAGCACCGGCTGGACCCCGGGGTGGGATGGGGGTAGAGGTGGGGGACAGCACCCCGGGGTGTAAATGGGGTCGTGGCAGTGGGATGGCGGTGTGGTGTGGGATGGCAGTCAAGGTGTTCGCTCCTATCCCCTCGCCTGTGCTGTGTGATGGATGTAGTAAGCCTCAGCAATCTGCTGAGAAGGCGGCTGTGTGTTTCGAGCATAAACTCACGCCTTTTAGCCCTCTCACGAACTGAATGCTTCCACTTCAGCCCGGCTAGCAGGTCCCGCTGCACCTGCGAGCCGCAAAGGGCAACCCGCCCGGCGGTGCTGCGGCTGGGCCGGGCTGGCTCCCGCACACCTTCCACTCCGCCTTTGGGGCCGAGGGAGACGGCTCTCGGCGTGTGGCTGCAGGTCAGACACCGCTGCCTCCCAGCCAAGTGGGGCTGCGGGGCCAAATCCCAGTATGATACAGCGTGTTCCTGGAAGCCGCTGCGAGGAGCAGCAGGATGTGAGTCAGGAGGCGATGGCGCACGGCGGGAGCCGGCAGCGGCCTGGCCTGCGAGGCAGCAGGTACGCCTCGCCGCCTTCCCCTTGCGGCCCTGCCAGCTGCCCTCCGCCTCGGGAAGCATCACTGCGGGGACAGGGAGCCTTCTGCCAGGGATTTGGCACAGCCCCCGGCCAGGGGAGATGAAGAAGCCGGCCCCGAGGAGCGAGCGGTTAATCAGCCGCTGGCTGCGTCGGTGAGGATCCCGTCGTCCTCGGCGTGGCGAGCTGAAGATGCGTTGCGAAACAGCCGCTGCTGCTGCCAGGCTTTTCTCTCGAGTTGCAAAAATTTCTGTCAGTCGTGCGCAACAAGCCCCGAAAGTCGCGTAGCACCGGGCTTTGCAATCGCCCCACCGTCCTGGCAAGCGCTATAAAGGCAG